TGCTTACCACATCAACAAAAATTAAATGACAAACTCAGACACAATTCACTTGAAAAGAAGTTAAAACCTATTCTGAAGTAGGGGATGAAGACGGAGAAAGAGGAGGAGGAAAAGGGGACAAAGGAGAAGAGCAAGAGAAAAGAGATCAAATATTAAGCAATAATAAAATGCTTACGATGTCAACACAAAGTTAGGAAGCAAGTCTTGTATGGACACAATTCATTTTGAACATAACCCATTGGTAGTCTTAGAGGAAAGGAGAGAGAGAGAGAGAGCAGAAAGTGAGAGAATTTGTCAATCAATTATTAGCATGCCGTCTTATGAGAGTTTTATAACAACATCAAGTCTTACTCAATCAGTCTAGACTGAAATCATAGCCCAGTGAGGGAGAAGGAAAACACTAAAACACCAGCTGAAAAGGAAGCGGGCCTCCAAAATGAGATAACTATAATAATAAATGAGCAAAACCATCATAGTAAATATACAACAGAAGTAGTACCATACTTTTCAAAAGACTTCAGTGAATATCTAAGGACCAAACGGCCAAAGAATAGACTAGCAGTAATGGAGGAAGAAAGAGAAGGACGCCATTAGCAGCTGGATTAATTGGGAACTGAACTGCGCATGCGCAGTGGGCGTGGTATTGTTAGATTAATTATTGCATGACAATGATGACACTTTGATAGTGGGTATTTTCCACCAAATGGGGGAATATAACACAATATAACACCTAGGGGTTTACCCCCCAGTGGTGGAAAACCAAAAAGTGGGTATTTTCCACAGATATAGTGGGTATAACCCACCATCGTTTTTGCAGTGTAAGCCTTTAATTTGCTTAGTCCTAGTTCTAGTTCTGGTTCCAAATTTGCAGTTTGTATAGTTCTAGTTTTAGTTATAGTTTTTTATCAGTACTTTGTATAGTTCTAGTTTTAGTTCTAGTTCCAAGCAGATACTCTACATACATGTAGTTATAGTTTTAGTTCTAGTTTTAAGCTCCTAGTTTTCATAGTTCTAGTGTAGTTCTAGTTCTAGTTTAGTTCTTTTTCCTTTATTTTCACACTTTTTTCAATGATATAAGCTCTAATAAGGGTAGTTGGCAACATTTTATGTAGTCAATAGCATATAGTTTTAGCATTAGTTCCATAAAAATAATAGTTCTAGTACTAGTTCTAGTACCAACATCAATTTACAAATAGTTCTAGTTCTAGTTATAGTTCAAAGAAGAGTTAGCTACTAGTTCTAGTTCTAGTTATAGTTCTATAGCTAGAAAATTGTTAGTTTAGTTATAGTTCTAGTTCTTGGAACTAGAACTAGCTAAAAATAATGGAACTAAATGACTTTTTAGTTCTAGTTCCAAAGAACTAAAACAACACTACTGTGCACCTAATTATATTAAACACAATACAGGTAAAGAAATAGTACATTCACACTATGGCCAATACTATGCCTTCATAATCTTCTATATTGAGGTACATGTATTGTGCATGCATAACTGAGTAAAGTAACAAATCATGAGAAGCTAACTTTCTTTTTAATTTTGTATTGATATGAAGGAGGTAATGTGTATTTCTTATTAACATAAACTGGATCCAGTGACAGGTATTGATGATGATTATGAACAATTTGTAACACATCAGACAGTACACTAACTTCAGTCAATGCTTAGACAAAACTAATAATAAAGTTTAACTATCCTTTATGTATGCAATACATTGATACATGATTTATACCATAATTTCTCTAAAAATTCGTCATTACTGTGTTGGGGCAAATAATTTTTAAAACGAAGTTTTAGACGTCAAACGGAATTAATTAAGCCAAAATTGTTATTTTTGACAAATTTAGAGGCAGCATGGTGGAGCGTGAGTGCGTCATGGAAGTCTGCCAAGTTGCTGCTTACCTGCCACTCCATTGCCAGTAAAGATGAATAGAGAGAATCCTGACGAAATTAGAACAAGCGGTAGGGATATTTTTGTGACGAATAATTAGACTACTTTAGGTACTATTTCTCCCAAATAATTATTTATTTTTGAAATTAGGGTGCCGAAATTTTAGAGAAATTACGGTACTCTTTTGTTTATACAAATTCATATACCGTATAGCGGGTATATTTCGTCTGGGAAAATGTTCGTTCTAAGCAGGATTAGAAATTTTCGTTCGTTTTATTTTCGTTCTGAGCAGTTATTTTGCACACGTGGCATTGAGGAAACGCCCTTTTCGTTTGGAAAATGTTCGTTCCACAAGGAATGAGAACGAAATTAAACTCGAAAGGAATATACCCGCTATACGGTATTTATGTACTTGAGTTTTTAGTTGTAGGACCAGAAACTCCCTCCTCCTCTTGTTTCTTCTTTCCTTCTTCTCTGTCATTATCATCATCAGCTCTCTCTTCTCTAAAGTCAACATTTTAGTTTCTGAGAGGTCTCCTATCCTACAAACGATGTACACGTACACGCATCATAGATATTAGAGTAAATGAAAGGGATTGGAAACGGGGGCGTAGGCTGGTTGATGTTGCTATTGGTTACGGGCCCAAAACCTGGTTGATTCCCATATTTATGGAGGTCCAAGAGGACGCTTACTTATGATATACCTACCGTTCGATATAGAAAGTGTTGGACTACCTGCAGCAAGGTTTTTACTTCTACAACGCTATTTTGCAACGAGTTATAGGTACAACAAAAAATTTTTCACTTTTCGCCCTTTTTCTGTTATAACAAACTCATGCTTCAAGGATTCTAACCCTAACTAGTATCATTCGATATGCAAATGGAAACTCTTTCATATGATTATAAAGATATTGCATTTTACTCTAGCTTGTTTTCAAAAAAAGGATTATAATGACAAAAAAAAACATTTTATGGCTTTAAAAATGCCATAACATTAACATGGTAAAATTATCTGTACAATAGAAAACAGAATTATAAAGAGGAAACATTAGGCTACTTGATGCATTAATTCCACTTGCATAGGAACACTTGTTTGCGAGATATTGCTCCTAAAAGAAAGAAAATCAAGGGTAAATTGTGACAAAAAATTTCAACGAGCCTCTGTCAGCCTAGCAGCAATACAAATGAATGGAGGTTGGGCTACGCCCACGCTTCCGTTTCCAATCCCTTTCATTTACTCTATTATCTATGCATGCATGCTCTAACCCTAGCCACACCTCTTTGCAGACTGGCTTTTATAGGGAGTGTCTTCAGTGTCTTGTATTTCTGAAATGGCGGATCCGGTTGAGGTTGTTGCGCTCTTCTCTGCTTATTCTTCAGGTGATATTGATCGTGTTATTAGTTTGATTGATGCTGGAATGTCTCTTTTTACTCCTAACGATGAAGGTAACACATTGTTTCACTTGTGCTGTACCAATAATACTGACGGACCCAGAATATTAGAACATATTTTCACTGTAGTTGACTCGTCAAGTCATAGCATTGATAGTACAGCACATAGTTACTATGATAAGCAGTGGAAAAGTGTAGATTTTAATCTAGTAAAACGGGTACTTTATATTAGAAATAATGATGGTGTTACACCCCTTAATTTAGCTTGTAGCAATGGAATACCTGGGTGTGTTCGATTGATTCTATCACACTTCCCTGCTACGGCTAAAAGTTCTATACTATTTGAATTATTTAACGATGTCATTAAATGCATAAACGATGCTGCTAGTTGGCAGATTATTCGATTATTATTAGTGAAAATAACACTCAGAGATATGATGGACACGTGTAATAAATGTGAAGACACTCAACATCTCCTAAGATTCTTTCCTATGGATAATGAATACTTTCAGTTAAGTGATGGAAGGACAACTATACTTCATTTAGCAGCTACGTCTGGTGATCTAGAATACTTGACTACTATTATTTGTTTAGGCTTTGATATAAACAGATTAGATAGTGATGGCTACACTCCTCTACACAGAGCTTTTCAATATGGCTGTGTATCAATAGCTAAATGTCTTATTAGTCAACCCAACTGTGAAACATCAAGTAAAGATTACTATGTGGTGCTGTTACATGTTGCCGCTAGTGAATTAGGTGACCTATCATTAGTACAGAGTCTGGTGGAAAGAGGTGTTGATGTTAATATTAGTAACTGTAATGGTACAACTGCATTGCATTATTCTTGTCGTTGGGGTCACTTATCAATTGTAGAGTATTTGACATCTCTTCCTCAATTAAATTATACAAAAGATACTTGGGGTAGAACAAGTATTCATTTCTCGGCGGAGTTTGGGCAAGCACATGTTGTCAAGTATCTTGTTGAATCATGTAACCATGATGTTAATGTAGAGGATAAGTATGGCAATACTCCACTGTACATGGCATGTGTTTATAATCATTTACCAGTAGTAGAGTATTTAACAGCACAACCAAACTGTAACATTAATAGTAATAATGGGAGTCATCCTCTAATAGCAGCAGCAGATAAGGAACATTTAGAAATAGTGAAGCATCTCATTGAATCTGCAGGTTGTAATATTAATGTTAGAGAAAGGGGAACAGGTTTCACTCTGTTACATAAAGCATGCTATAATGGATCACTTTCAATAGTAGAATATTTGATATCTAAGCCACAGTGCGACATTGAAGTTATAGACATTAAATTAAACCAACCACTTCATTATGCAGCATGTCAAGGACACAAGAAAGTAGTTTCAATTGTAGGAAAGAAAGTGAGTCAGGATGGTTTATTTAAATGTATAGCATCAGCAGGACAACTAGCCGAACCAGATATAATGAAACTATTAAATGATTGTTCTGAAGATAGGAAATCATTAATTAATGCATGTCAATCAGGAAGTGTAGACATTGTACGTCATCTAGTGATTGACAAAGATTATGATGTTAATGCTAATGAGAGGTTTGGCAATGGCTATACACCACTACATTATGCATGTGAAAAGGGTAATTTTGAAATTGTTAGAATTTTAACCACTAATCATCTACAATGTAATACTGAAGTTGAGAACAGTTTTAAGGACAGACCACTACACAAAGCATGTGAATCCGGAAATTTAGACATTGTATGTCATCTTGTGATTGACAAACACTGTGATGTTAATGCAAAAGGAAGGAATGGCAATACACCATTACATTATGCATGTGAAAACTGTCATTTTGAAATTGTTAAAATTCTGACTAATCATCCACAATGTAATATTGAAACTGAAAACTTTTCTTATGACAGATCACTACACAAAGCATGTGAATCTGGAAATTTAGACATTGTACATCATCTTGTGATTGACAAACACTGTGATGTTAATGCAAAAGGAAGGAATGGCAATACACCATTACATTATGCATGTGAAAATTTTCATTTTGAAATTGTTAAAATTCTGACTAATCATCCACAATGTAATATTGAAACTGAAAGCATTTTTAATGACAGACCACTACACGAAGCATGTAAATCTGGAAATTTAGACGTTGTATGTCATCTTGTGATTGACAAATACTGTGATGTTAATGGAAAAGGGAGGTATGGCAATACACCATTACATTATGCATGTGAAAAGGGATTTTTTGAAATTGTTAAAATTTTGACTACTCATTCACAATGTAATCTTGAAGCTGAAGACAATTCCAAGTGCAGACCACTACACAAAGCATGTATATCTAGAAATTTAGACATTGTACGCCATCTTGTGATTGACAAATACTGTGATGCTAATGCTAAAGGGATGAATGGTTATACACCATTACATTATGCATGTGAAAAGGGCTTTTTTGAAATTGTTAAAATTCTGACTAATCATTCACAATGTAATCTTGAAGCTGAAGACAATTCTAAATACAGACCATTACACAAAGCATGTGAATCTAGAAATTTAGACATTATACACCATCTTGTGATTGACAAATGCTGTGATGTTAATGCTACAGGGGGTTATTATGGCTATACACCATTACATTATGCATGTGAAAAGGGTCATTTTGAAGTTGTTAAGTATCTGACCAATCATCCACAATGTAATATTGAAGCTGAAGATTATTGCAATAGGAGGCCATTGCATCTTGCATTAAATAATCAATTTCCTGATATGAATATTGTCAATTATCTTGTTAAAGATAAAGGATGTAATACTCAGGGGATAAGAACACATAACAGGAAAACTCAAAATTATCTTCACATTCATCAATCCAGTGGTATAGCATTATTACGTGTCGTTAAGTGTATATTGACAGGTCCTCCTGGTGCTGGTAAGAGTACATTAAAGAAGAGACTCCTCAATAAATCTCTTGATACAGAACCTTCACTTAGTACTGGTGTAATTGATGCAGCTGTACCAGTTAATTCATTTCGTAAACTATTACAGCACAATGCAGTAGTGACTACAGAGTGGAAGGAACAGGAACTCGATGAAGAAGCTATACTGATCACTAAGAAACTATTACCAGCAAACAACACATCAGATGAAAGCGCTAGACCTAGTGCATCTCATCAGTTTAATTTACCATTTGTATATACAAAAACTTCATTATTAAAAAAAAATTCAAGATCACTAGAAGAAATAGGCCTATCTGATCAACATGATGATACAAGTGTTACATTTTCACCAACTTTCATGCACTCTGAAGTAATTGATGCAGCAAGTTATTATGAAACAGACTCATTTGCAAATATGGAGCATGAGAATATAGTTGATTCATGCAGAGCACCTGTCAATTGTGAGGAGGAAGAAACCAGAACTGATACTGAAAAGCAAAATAGCAACAGTTCTGTGTTAAATGGACTTTCAGATTATGTAATGAAGATACCTGTTAGAAAAAGACAAGAATATGAGTGGAAGTTTAAAGCAAATGATGACAATCACACAATGTTACACATCATTGATACTGGAGGACAACCCGAGTTTCATGAAATATTACCAGCTCTTATAACTGGCCCAGCTATCAATCTACTGGTATTCAAACTAACTGAAGATTTAAGGAGTCGCTATCAAATAATCTATCGAACCTCTGATGGTGATTCTAAACCTTATGAAACCTCATTGACACATGAAGAAGTGATATTCCGTTCACTAGCAAGCATAGCTTGTTTAAGACAGAATACTATTGGATGGAGTTTTGATGAAATACCTATTGAAGATAATTCAGAACCTGTTGCCTTCCTTATTGCTACACACAGAGACCAAGTGGATGAGAATAAAGTAAGTGAAGTCAACGAACAGTTACAGATAAAAATTAAAAAGAGTTCAGATTTGTTTAACGATAACCTTGTACAATTTTCTGAAGAAGAGCAAGTAATTTTTCCACTTGACACTACAAAGGATAAAGAAGAAGTAGATCACCTTCGTTCTTTCCTTCACAAGGTTATATCAAAAAAGTTTCAGGAATTAGAAATACCAGCTTCTTGGTGTACTCTTAGTTTAAAATTACGAAAAAGTAAAAAAAAGCTTTTCAAATACGATACATGTTTCAAGTTAGCTCAAGAGTGTGGTATCAAAGGTACAGAAGAGTTTAAAAAAGTTTTATGGTATTTACATCACAGAGTGGGTACCATCATGCATTATCCTAATGTAGCAGGTTTGGAGGATATTATTATCACTGATCTTCAACTAGTGTTTGATCGTATCACTAATCTCATCACAACATGCTTCACTTTTAAACAGTCAGGTAGTGCTGCTGTGGGGGAAGAATTTCGTAAAAATGGACGCTTTTCAGAGTCACAACTAGATGAGATGTCATTACGAGAGAAAGGTGATCCACTTAATACAAAGAAACTTGTAGCACTACTGAAGCATCTTTATATTGTAGCTGGTCCTATGAAAGATAAAGTTGGTCGAAAAACGGTCAATTATTACTTTATGCCTTGTGCTCTAAAACCAGCAGATGTAGAAAGAGAGGAGAGAGGTGGGTCAGTTAGTCCAGCTCCTTTATTGATATGTTTTGAGTGTGGGTATACTCCTGTTGGTGTGTTCTGTTGTCTAGTAGTGTATCTTCTTGATCAGAAGACAGACCAAGTACTGGAATGGAAGTTGACTGGTAATTATCAATATCGTAACAGGATTACCTTTCGAGTTGGTCAATACCATGACACAGTTACCTTAATCAGTTGTGCTACTTATCTTGAAGTGTGGGTTCAGCAAATAAAAGGCTCAAAGCTGTCAACAAATGATTTATTATCATCATTGCACAAAGGACTAGTCACAGTCACACAATCACTTCATTACACTTACAAGTCAAGGCATGAGTTTGGTGTAGCATGTACATGCACTGCAGTACCTCATCCTGCTGTGATTGACTTTAATGAAAGTGCAACTATGTGTGTGAATGGAAGAATAGTGGAGTTTAATGAGAAGCAATTATACTGGTCTAAGAAGGTAAGTAACAATGCATCTTTGCAAACAATGTATTGAATGTGCATGCATACTGGTAGGTTGTTGAACTGAATAACACAATACAAAATCGAAACAGCAAAATATCGTCTCAAACTGGTAAATCAATCAACTTGATGTGTATTTATATTAAACAATATCTTGTAGAATCCCACATTCCTAGAAGTTCTTCATCCCATGGCACAGCTGCAGTAGATATAGAAGGTTGCAATAATTTTGATTTGATATTTGTTTACATTGTCTTCTAGTTTGTCCTAGAGAATTGTTTCGTCAGCACTCAGCTGACATTACCCAGTGCATCTCATTAGATGTAATGCGTGTTGCTGATAGACTGTTTGCTGCAAAAGTGATACCTGAACAATTAAGAAATGAAATATCCAATGTAACTAGTTTAGATGACTATAGAAAAGCCAGCAAAATGACAGTTCACATTCAAAATACTCTCAGCTATCATACAAGTCCCATTGAGTATCTTACTG